TTTTTTCTTCTTCGTAAACTGTTTCATTGCCATCAGCCTTTTTTCCCCATTCGCATGTCATTGTTATCACAATAAATTTAGGGTGCTGGAACTTATCTATCGTTTAAATTGCTCTGTTTGACTAAATTTATCAGTTATTTTTTTCCAGAACTCTTCGGTTTCCACTCACCAAGGAAAATGGACAGAACTTAAGACACGACTACTCTCAAAAGCCTGCAATTAATTATTCCGAGTATTACAAATATCTCCTAGAAAATCCTTGGGTTCAACAGGTATGCTAGGCATATGAACCATCCAAACTTCATAGGCTTTTTGATCCTCACATAATTTATTGGTATGCCATGTTTTTTCGGAATCGGTCAGCCCGGGGCTTAAAAAGGCCCTCAGAAAAGATCATGTCTTGAATGAGGCACTCATTTAAAAAGAACTGCTCAGCAGAAGCTCGAGTTTCCTGAAAGGCCAAGCAAGGAAAACCTCTTAACATAAGGTTCTTCAAACTATCTATAACATGGTAGTTTAATTTGAGTCGCATCCGCAATACCTGGCGATTGAGCGTGCGGCCACGACGCGGCAAGTTCAGATGTATTTGGTAAAACTTGATTAGGCTGCTCGAAGAAAAGCTGGTTTTCAAATTGCTCATAGTTATATTTGAAAATAGTGAAGATGTGCGCTTTTCAACTACACTCGCAGGTGAGAGAGTCGTAAATGAGTGAGATGCGGTAAATTAATAGCAACCTGTACAACGTCTTTCAGCACAAGGAGGTTAGGACTATCAAGTAATGCTGTAAGCGGTTCTCCTAAACCGTAGACGCGCGGGCAAAACAATTTTTTAGTGATATGCGTACCTCATGTGGAACGATTGAGCAGATAAAAGTAGTAATCCAAGCAAACATATTCGCACGGTTGCGTCGCGTTTGTGAAGCAGAAGAGGCTTTAGGCGAACGCACTTAGGCAGTCCGGTTACTCTAGGCTTGTTGACAACCGTGAATAAGCTTTACGTATTAGCTCACTGCTACTGCACTTTCTTCGACCAACTCAGCTTTGAAGCTAATAAATTTAACTAAATAAATGTAAAATTTATGCTTTTGTGTTATCAGGCAATCGTCTTTTGGAGTCGACTGTGGATCGTATAGAGGTTGGTGTGGCTGTAGCTGCGCAAACCGCTAGACGAAAGGCATGCGACGCTCATCAGAACTTCTACGCACGTCCGAAGGGAGCTGTAACATCGGCGTATATTGATGGTAAGAATGGTATTCGTTTGCTAATCAAGAGCTGAAGGTAGCCACCTTGGTTCCGTAAAACCTGTCATATACTTTGCGGCAGGGTTTTCGACTGCTAGTTTCATCAGTGTTAGACACGCTGACAAAGGCTATCCTCACTTATCTGTAGTAGGTTCAGGATTGTCTTCCACAAAAGGAGGGTCCAATTCATGTGGGTCAACATGTATTTTTATATTAAATCGATTACTAGCGACTGAATTGGTGACTAATTATTTCTAATCGTAGGAAATTCAATACCTTGTGTTCTTGGGTGCTACAGCGGTTTCATATATTTTATCCGCAACCAAACAACCCAATGGAAGTAGCATGAGGCCTTTCGATTGTAGACACCTCAGGTCCTGTCTACATCTGATTTTTAAGCTGGCGTTCAGACTGGCTAGGCTGCATGCCTCATTTCACGGCATAACCTCATTTAAATGCCTATATTCTAATCCTCAGCATGTTTACATGCAGAACGTGGGGGGTAAGGTTTGAATAATTGCATGATTGCATTACTAGCAGGCGTTCGATTCAGGGGCTGTTGCCGGATTTTCTTGGACCAATGTTCCTCACATATATGTGTTTGTTTCCGCCCAGATGTGTGGCTCACAATCGTTAGCAGTCACAGCCGCGATTGTTGGTCACTTGTTTCTCCCAGCACCGAAGTCAGCTGACAAATAACGTATGGTTGTAGACACGTGAATTAATGTGCCCTTCTTTTCTAGAACTTCTCCTCTCAGTGAGCAGTCGCTTTCCGTACATTCGATCTACTAACTCTCCTGTGAAGTTCTGCATAGTTATCGCAATAGCGGAAAAATTTATGAAATGACTTCACACAAGAATCGGTAGGATTCATGGCAGCCTTTCTCGCTCAGCACCTTGGGCCATGGCAATGTAGCTGCTCAGGAAGGAGTATTGAAGTGCGGTAGAAGTAGAAATGAGCATGAGTAATTGATCTCAGTCTGGGTCATCGCCTTATAGGGATGGGCTAGGGAACTTGATCGAGGTTCTTTCAAAAGATTCTCTTTGAGGAAACTGTGATCACTAATAACTGGCTGCTTTCATAGTCCGCCGGTGTGCCGCCGGCGTTCCACCCGAGGTAGTGCTAAGGGAGAGGAAGGAGGCAGATGGTCGGTCGACGCGGTCGCGTCGCGCCCAAGCCCCTTCGAAGGGCTGA